AATAAATTACTCTAATGTTTGTAAAACCACATGTAAAACGTAATTGTATTTTTTTTTAAGTCACTTCTTGTTTTCATATAAATAGAGATATATAGAGTGTCCCAGAATTATTTTCGTTTATTAATCCGTTCGCTGGCGCAATAGACGCATTCCCGAGAAAAGAGGCTATTGGCCAATGGTGGTCGACAATGTCAAGTTTTAGTTATAGATAAATAAATAAAGATGAATTTTTTAAATGTACGCCACTGTCAACACGTTGTAGTTCCCAGGGGGGCTATTTTCAAAGTATGGGAGCACTAATTTCTCTCAAGATTCTCATCAGAAATGTCATACGTCAATGTGGAAATGTTGTTTTTAAAGGCATCGAGGAATAAAATTCTTAGGAAGATTTTAATTCTCTCTAAATAAACCGAGAGAAACAGTCAGTGAATTCACACTGGCCCTAAGAGCCCTAAAAATACGGTTTTACGTTGACGTATGACATTTCTCTTGAGAGAAATGAATTCTGTCGAGTTTGAAAATAGCCCCCCAGCATACTATCGCAATAGTATGAAAGCGATGTTGCCGGTTTCCGTAAACTTTCATGAGATGAGAGTTATTTCAAATTCATCTTGTTTTAATTCTTTATCAATCTACATGCGCAACATACCATCCATACAATGACCATACTATTGCTGGAATTTTTAAAAGGAGTTGACGTTGACACCTCGTAAAAAATGAAAAATCGTGATGGCGGAAGGCCAAATATAATAACGAAATGATAAAATAAAACTTATTTTATGATTTACGATGTAAGTTCCATAGATAGACAAGTTACTTTTAAGAAGATAAACAGTGTTAATTTGATGTAATTAGTAAGTATTAGCAATTTAATTTAATATTAGAAGTATGTAGATTTATTGAAGGACTTTGTTTGTCATTATTTTCTTATCCTTATATAATTTCATATTTCATAAATTTTCAGTTCTGTTTTAATATATGAAACAAAAATGTCTTGTCCGGGTATAGTTAAGTATTCTCTAAAATATTCTTGTTCAGCTCCTATTTGTTTAAATAAGTATTATTCTAAAATTCAGAAAGTTGGGTATTCAAATAATAAACATTTTTTCATTTTCCTTCCGATATTAAAATTCGCCAGGACTGGTTTAAGACTTTAAATTTAACTTTAGATAATAATACTCGCTATCTTTGTGCAGTCCATTTTTGCCTGAGTCTTATAGTAAGGTTTTCCTCAAAACGTAAATTGCTAGTTGGACATTCTGTACCAATTTCATTAGATAATTGTGCATCCAAATATACAATTGAGAGTCAGATTTTAAAATATGTTGAAGCTGATGCACAAATACAGCAGCATAAGAAAAAGAAGAAATTAGTTGCAAACGTAAACTTAATAATAATTAGTGATGATCAATTTGAACGACCCTCGAAACGAAGAAAAACAATAAATAAATACATAAATAAATAAAAGTAGAGTCAGTAAATTTAAGTCCTAAAGAGGAAAAGTTGAGTTTTATTAGTATTTGATAAGAGAAATTGTTAAATAAGACATATGTACTCTTTTTGTTTTATTTTTATAGGAAACACCAGACACCCAACAAAATATAGTCCATTTTTCCAAGAATGGGGGAGACTACTATTCATTTTACTTACAATTGTTATTTAATATTGAGCTAATTACTATGTATGTATTACTGTATAATAAATAATTAAAATATGTTTCAAATATTTTATTTTAATGTAAATATTTTTTTTATATTTTATGGGGTTTTATTACGTAAAAAAAACTAATATGTTAAATACAATATTTTGATGTAAATATTATTTTTTTTTAGAGTAATGAATGCCAAAAAAATATAAATAAATAATAAATTATATTTAAATGAACCGCGGTTGACTTTTTTATTTTTCTCTTTCTTATTCAGCGTCTTACTGGCTAGTCAATCAGCCAGTGTAGTTCAAAAATTAACACGGGACCCGATTGTCTTCTTTATTAATTTATTTATGGTTTTAGTTGCAATGGAGCGTCTTATAGGGCTACAACGTGCTTTTTGTATTCGTGTGTTTTATAAAAACAATGATTATTAAAGTGCGTCGTTATAAATCGTTATAACATAGCAAAAATGAAAGATGTCCCAAGTGCAAATTTAGTTAAAAATTGATTAAGAAAGTTTGAAATTTAATTTCCAGTACTCTCAAACTTTCTTAATCAATATTTAACTAAATTTGCACTTGGGACATGTTTCATTCTTGCTATGTTATGATTTCTGTACAAATGACGCACAAAAACAAGAATCTTTTTTTTAATGCACGAATACAAAAAGCACGTTATTAATATGCCTATTGCGCCAGCGAACGGATTAATAAACGAAAATTTTCGGGGACTCTATATTTGGAAATTAATAGTAAATATTTCTTTGCAGAAATTATTTACCGGATTAATAGTTAAGACCGGGGGATCGAGCGTCTTCGACGCTTCAAATTTTAAGAAGATTTCAAAAGTTACACAACGCGGTAACTTTTAAAGTGTGTTGCGGTAACTTTTAAAGTGTGTTGATAAACAACTGTAATTTGACAGACACATTGGCACTTTAATATAGTAGGCCGTAATTTGTAATCTTTGACATCTAGGCGGTTTCGTTCATTTAAATTTTCGACCGCATTCTATTAAGGTTTTGGCTTTCTCTATCGCGAGATCGCGGCACGGACACACAGACATTGGCACTTTAATATAGTAGGATATTAAAAAAATTGTCTAAAGACTGTATTTTCATATCTTCAGTTAATACCCTCAAAACACCACAGATTAGTAGTACTCTTACGAGGGGAAATATCTGGCTCTTAGTGTTTGTAATCCCACTATGAAAAGGGGCCATTATGTAACGTGATCTCTAGTTATTCTATCTACTTGTATAATGTGTTTGAGCTCAATTGATTGGGCGTGGGTTAGGTTATTAAATAACTCGAATAACTTTGAAAAAGAAGTTGGGCACCACTATATTTAAAGCTTACTATACTTGACTTCAGATTGGTGATAAAAATATAGAAAATCACTAACCACTAACAAATTATATTTAAACCATTCTTTAGATAAGGTAGTAGGAAATTCTAATTCACATAGTTTTACTAAATTCAAATTTAAGATGATTTATTCAATTGCACTTATCTGTTGTTAAAACGAGGTAATAAAAGGAATGTATTAATGCATGGTATATCTTCAGGCAACTTCTTCAAAGGGATTCGGGATCCTTATTCGTAATTCTGCAACTTGAATGGATCTCGTGATATTTGGTATTCTAACTTAAACTCGAAACTGCCTAGATCTTCTAGAGATCAATCAAACCACGGTCTTCAGATTGTACCAAAACCAAAACAAACTTCTAGGTATAAAAACGATAAAACTTCTTGATATGAATTTAAAAATGTCTAGATATCAATCCAAATAAACCGTCTAGATATAGCCATGCTAAAATGTTAAGACAGGAAATAGGAAACTTGAACAAGACTTAGATAAAATGCTTTAACCATTAAATGAACAATTCAAAACTATTAAATGAATAATTTCACAGAGACTAAAATTAACATGAAAAGGAAAAATCTTATTTAACATATTTAAACATAGTAAAGCATAATGTCTCATTAAAAAAAAAAAAACAATATATAAATTAATATAAAACGAACCATTGTTGATATTGAGGTTATGTTCAATACTTGACAATTTAAGAAATCTTTTGTATAAAATATATATATTTAACAATATATTAGTATTAAAACTTACTTTATAAAATCAGACGGATTTTACAATAGATAAAAATCAATAATTAAGTATATCAGATTACCAAGATAATTTAAAATGAAATCTAGTTGATTCGTTGACATTCAAGTCAAAAATTATTCTCACAAGGCGAATCAAGGAATAATAAAACGACAAATGACATTTAAGAGGTGAAAGGTGGTTGTGTCGAAATAACGGTTCCAACCGTTACACCCCACTAACTCTGGGTACAACTCTGACTGGGAGACCATTAATTGGAATTTCTTTAGGAATCGTTTTTCCTGAAAAAGTAATACAAATCGTACCTGTTCATAGGAGATTTCTTTACCGGATTCCACAACTATTCTATTTAGACGTTTGACATGAAGAAGTTTACAATTCACTAAATGAGTTTCAGTTGCCTCTTTAATTTCATCATCTGTAAAAGATCTGTCCACATACCTTACAATCCCTTTGCAAGAGACATTTTGTGATGGAATAAAAACTTCATAACCTTTATTTTCCATTTATTTATCCTATATAAATTGGTTGGCATTGGTAAAGATCGCACCAATACGGTTTTTCCCTTTTCTTACTATTTCGAGGATATCCTTCAGTTTCAGATTTAAAATGATTTTTGCTATACTTAGTATATGAAGATTTCCTAGATTATTTGTTTTTCCTTGGTCATGCATTTCGAAGGGGCCCGAGTCTGTGTTCGAATACAAGTTTTTAACCCTCGGCGGAGGATCTGGAGGATCCGGGGGATCCTTGACCCCCCAATTCCATGTGGGTTGGTAGCTTTGTTTGTGTCACAAACATGTTTATACACAATTACTTACTAAAAATATGAGGAAGAAAAAGGTTGAAAATACACAGGATGTTGTTAGTAAAGCCCAAATAACAAAAGATTGTTAAATTTTCACTGACAGCGATGTTTACACTTCGGATGTCAAAGCAAAAGTGAACCTCAAATGTTCATCCAATACCTTTTTAACATTTTGTAGCGACGGTAACACAGTCTGAACGTTTAAACAAGCTTTATTAAAATAATTCATATATTTTAACTCAGAAAAAGAAGAAAAAAATGTAACAACTAATGCAATATGTGTTCCGACCCGATAACCCTAGAACCATGGCCTAAAACCATTCTTATACACGAAATTAAATATAAATGTAGACCTCGCATTATTTGTCTTTAAGTTGAACGTAGTATTATTAGTTTGACCCTTTTGATATCTCTTTACAGGCAATGGTGAAGTTCAATGGTGTTTCTCTCAAGTAAAGGGAACCTTGGACGACGATGTAACAGAAGCAGACATAATATCATGCGTGGAGTTCAATCACGACGGAGAATTACTGGCCACCGGCGACAAAGGTGGACGAGTAGTCATTTTCCAACGTGACCCTTTGTCCAAAACGGTTCTTCCAAAGCGCGGAGAATACAATGTCTACTCCACGTTCCAATCGCACGAGCCGGAGTTCGATTATCTCAAGAGTTTAGAGATCGAGGAAAAAATCAACAAAATTAGGTGGCTGAGACGGAAGAATCCCGCCCACTTTTTGCTTTCCACTAATGATAAAACTATCAAATTATGGAAAGTGTCCGAGCGGGACAAGAAAGTAGAAGGTAAGACTGTCAGAATTAGGTTGTTTCGGTCAATTTAGGACTGAAATGTATACTATCGTAACTGAAACAGATACAGGATGTAAATAATTATAAATACTTACATTCTTGATTGATTATTAACCAAATTTAGATTGGTGTGCATACACGTTCTCGCAACAGTTATGCAGTGAGGTCTTCGCTCATGGTACTTAGCCGACTAGCGTTTAACCATCGGCACCATGGAATGAATGACAGTGAATGAGCGAGTGAATGGAGAAGTAGTAGTATAAAATGGTGCTACTATAATCTGTTTGTTCTTTTCGTTTCATCATTTATATGACTTAACAGTTATTTAAAAACTTCCACATACTGTATACAAACGCCATTTCAGTTACGACAGCATACAAACCATCGTTACCTCTAGATGATCCCGCACTTTTAGGTTACAATACGAAATCAGAAAACGGCAGCTTGGTGGACCCATCGAGCGTGCATTCCCTTAGAGTACCAGTGATCAGACCCATGGAATTGATGGTGGAGGCGTCGCCTAGGCGTATATTCGCGAACGCTCATACCTACCACATCAACTCCATATCGGTGAATTCCGATCAAGAAACCTACCTGTCGGCGGACGACCTGAGGATCAATCTGTGGCATCTAGAAATAACCGATCAAAGTTTTAATATCGTCGATATCAAGCCGACGAACATGGAGGAATTGACAGAGGTACGTAGTACATTTTTTTTATCCTTTTGGAAAGAGGCGAAGTACTTTTTGCTTTTCTCGAGAAATAACATTGGTTTTTCAAAGTAATTTATTCAAAATATTGATATTTATTTTCTCTTAATTTATGCAGTCTGAGTTTCGTTGAAGGAATGATAATTAAATGAAATGCAACAACTTGATTTCAAAGTATCTTGCCACACTTTTCAAATAGCTCAACCAATGATGTATTTTACCGCATTGTTTTGCGAATTTCTCCTAGCAACAGCTGTTATGAATTATGTTTTTTATCCTATTCATGTCGGGTATAGAATTTATGCAACACCAGTGTTAATTTTTTTTACGGTTAAAAATATCTTGTGTTTTTAACACCTTTTATGTGCAGATGATTTAAAACCATGTATCATATATCACCAGATTAAACGTTCAATAACCTCTATAATTATTGTCAACATAACTTAATTGATACATAAACGAGTGTTATTTTATTTTCTCTACAGGTTATTACTGCAGCCGAATTTCATCCAACAGAATGCAATCTGTTCGTCTATAGTAGTAGTAAAGGAACAATTAGGTTATGTGATATGCGCGCCGCGGCATTGTGTGATAGACATTCTAAGTTGTTTGAAGAGCCCGAGGATCCGACCAATAGGAGTTTCTTCTCGGAGATAATTTCTAGTATTTCGGATGTTAAATTGTCAAATAACGGCAGATATATGATATCTAGGGATTACCTCTCCGTCAAGGTATGGGACTTGCACATGGAGACTAAACCAATAGAAACTTATCCTGTAAGTAAAGTATTTATATATTTAAATCGTAAAAATGTATGACGTAATAGTTACTATGCTAAAATACCACTTTTACGTCAACATAAATTTTTGTCATCTAAAATAACATGTTTCTTTATTATCCTTGTAATCAACTTTAACGTTGGAGAAAAAATTTTGTATTGAAAAACTCAACCCCTAATGTGTTAAATTTTGTGCTTAGAAAATTACTTTAAATTTTCTTGCAGGAGGGAGAAATTTATTGTTATTTAGCTAAGTGTTAATTAGAATTTTACAACTTTCCTTAAGCGAAGAATGTAAAATTAATTATGTTCATGCATGAATTTTCAGTTTATTGGCCCCACGTTGGGCGCCAAATAATAAATTTCAAAAATGAACGAATAAAATAATTTAGAAAAATAAATAAATTTCGTAGAATCGTTACATCCTTTATAATAAGTTCAAACTTTGGTCAAATGTCACTTGTCGCTTTTATTTATCACGATTTACCTTTTTCATTTGTCACCATTTACCGTTGTCATTTGTCATGATTTACATTTATCATTTGTCACGATTTACCATTTAATTTGTCACGATTTACCTTTATCCTTTGCCAGGATTTACTTTTACCATTTGTTACGCTTTTCCGTTGTCGTTTGTCACGATTTACCTAGGGTTGATTTTCGATTTGTTCGACAGGTTCACGAATACCTTCGAGCCAAGCTATGTTCCCTGTACGAGAACGACTGCATCTTCGACAAGTTCGAATGCTGTTGGAACGGCAACGATTCCGCAATCATGACCGGCTCGTACAACAACTTCTTCAGGATGTTCGACAGGTCGACGAAGCGCGAGTTGACGCTCGAGGCATCCAGGGACGTCGCCAAACCCAGGACGGTGTTAAAGTTGCGCAAAGTTTGTTCACAGGGCAAGCGAAAAAAGGACGAAATTAGCGTGGACTGTTTAGATTTTAATAAAAAAATATTACACACGGCATGGCATCCGGCTGAGAATATTATCGCTGTGGCAGCAACCAATAACTTATTTTTATTCCAGGATAAGTACTAGTGTAATTTTTAATTTACTGAAAACTAAAAAAATAATGCGGTTTTTTCCATTTATTGTTTTTAATATCGTATCGGGCGCCCTTTCTAAGCGAATGTAATGGCGCCGAATTCATGACGTTTAAGGGGTTCTCAAACGAGTTAGCGTTACTCAACTTGATGTTGCTCCAATTCAATTCATAACCATACACTCTTCATTACTACTGTAAGATTATATCATATTTAAGACTAAAAGGTTTCGAATACATTGTTTGAATGGCTTTTCTCTTCTCAACTTCAACAGCTCCGTATCAAGCTTGTGCCTTAATAACATACTTATTTGACATTTCAACGGTTTTTCTCCAGCGTCATTATGGCCTCCGCTTGACAGTTCTAAATGACAAATATAATTGTCAGTGTTATTGATATATGCACTTACTACTTTTGTCTTATGCTTTATTTCCCTTACTTTTATTTTCTAATGGTTTTTTGCTTCCGTTATTTGTTTTGATAACCTTTCTTGTATCTTCTATGGACTTTATCTGTATTATGCTCCTCTTATTTTCTGTCTTTCTTGCCTTTTACAGTTCCTTAGAATAATATTTTAGATACTTTAGAAATCGTTCAAAGTTTTTGAATTTTTAGGAGTTTCAAGAGGATGGTGATTTTTTGGAGTATTGCGTTCTAGTAGTTAAAGTGATATAGGTCTAATTTTATTGCTCCAGGACTTTTTCACCTTTCGGTCTTATTTAGACGAAATTTTATCGATTTGTTAACATTTACAAAAGTAATGATCGATGACGTGCCAATTTTAGATGGTAAGGCGGGGTTTAAGTTGACCTTGAACTTTGACATTGAGCTGAGGCACTCTCATTTCACATCTACTTTTTTCTCCATATTTTTTCTTTCTAATTTTAGTTTAAAATCTGAAAAGTTGCTGTGAGTTGGCTTCAAGTTAACCTTGAACTTTGACATTGAGCTTCTCATTATGCACTCTCATTTCACATCGTTTAAAATCTGAATAATTGCTATGGGTTGGCATCAAGTTAACCTTGAACTTTGACATTGAGCTCCTTGTGCACTCACATTTCACATCTACTTTTTTCTAAATTTCGTTCATAATCTGAAAATTCGCTTTGGGTTGCTTCAAGCTAACCTTGAACTTTGACATTGAGCCATTATGCACTCTTATTTCAAATCGTTCAAAATCTGAAAAATTGCTATGGGTTGTTTTCAAGTTAACCTTGAACTTTGACATTGAGACTCTCATTATGCACTCTTATTGCAAATCGTTCAAAATCTGAAAAATTGTTATGGATTGGCTTCAAGTTAACCTTGAACTTTGACATCGAGCGCCTCATGAACTCTCATTTCACACCTACTTTTTTTTAAAAATTTCGTTTAAAATATGAAAAGTTGCTGTGGGTTGGCTTAACCCTAACTCACCGAGATTTGGTTAGACTCCTTGTGGATCCCCATGGGCAAAGATTAGCTTGTCGATTAACTTACTGGTTCAAAACATTTGATAACGTTACCTTCTGGTTCTAGGGTTAATTAACTCCATCTTTTGGGTTCCTTGGTTTAATTTCCAACTAATTTTCGCTGTTCAATGAATCCTTGTCAAATTAGTTAGTAGTAGTTTGAAAGTTTGTAGAATTTGGAGAGTACATGTCAAGCTTGGCGTTACCGTTGGCATTTAAACACCTACTTGATTGAGAACGCCTTCAATAAGTGCAACGTAATGTAGGCAACCAACGTTGTTTCAATGTATACTATGTTGCCTACGTGTAAAGGATGAAATGTTTTTAATCAATGAAAAGAAAAAAGATTCTTGAAAACGTGCTATATTTTTATTAATTTTTCTGCAATAATGTTAATGATTTTTATTTATAAACAATCAGTTAAGCAATTTAAAGACCGATATTGTTAGTTATTTATAATTTGTTGCAAAATAAATGAAGTAAAGCGTTTTTTTGGTCGAAATGTGACAAATGCGAATGGACGTTTAATTTTTAATCTGTTCTGTTTTGAGGATTTTCGACGAGGCATAATTGGGAGAAAAGGTATTTAATTTTCAAAATAAACTAATTCGGTGATAAATCTTCAGAACGGAATTTTTACAAACAAAAAAATGTTTCTTCTTCACACTGTAACCCTTGATAACATTTTATTTACTTTTACGATTTTTTTTGTTGAATTCTTCCTTTATATTATACACTTTTAGCAGTTTCCAATTTTTGATTAAAAAAAACTGGTTTTTTCCTTTAGGTATGTGATATTTTTTGAGTAATTTTTAATTTATTAAGTGAATACTCTTTAGATATACGAGGTGGGTCATTTTTAGACAAAAAAATACTTTTCCGCATCGATTTTGGTTGAAATAAAAATATAAAATCAACAATGTTATGTTAGTTTTCTTTTGTGCAGTTTTACTTACGAGGGCGAGCCAAAAAATTACGAATTAATACAACCCTACTTTTAAAAAAATATTGTTTTGAAATTTATTTTTATGTGTAAACATTTAGATCTATACTCGTAACAACCCGTTTCGATTTTGTGAAAATTAATCGCAAATAGTAACATTATTTTTCTAAATCTGCTGCCCCTCGTAACATTTTCGGTTGACTATAATCTATAATCACTTGTTAAATCTTGCAAGAACAGCTAATTAGACATTTTTAGTGATCCTCGTAACTTTTTTTTGTTAATAATTGTACTTGAAATCACATGAATTCCTTCAGGATGGATAATTGGACATTTTTGGTTAATTGCAACTACAATCACTTATTAAGGCCTATATGAACAGGTAATTAAACTTTTCTACTAACACTCGTAACATTCTTGGTTGTAAAACAATCACTTATTAAGTCATTTCATTTTTACGGCCCCTCGTAACATTTTCGGTTAATAAATGTACTTTAAATTATTTTTAATTCCTTCAGGATGGATAATTGGACATTTTTGGTTAATCACTTATTAAGGCCTGTAGGAACGGGTAATTGAACTTTTCTACTAACCCTCGTAACATTCTTGGTTGTATTACAATCGCTTATTAAGGCATTTTATTTTTACTGCCTCTCTTGACATTTTCGGTTAATTATATTTACAATCACATGTTAAATCCTGTAGGAACAGATAATTGGACATATTTAGTTACCCTCGTAAATTTTTGCTCAATGGAAAATGGAAAATCACTTATTAATTCCTTCAGGACAAATAATTGCACTTACAATCACTTATTAAGGCCTATGGGAACGGATAATAACTTTTTTACTGTCCCTCAAAACTTTTTTGGTTAATTTTACCTACTATCACTTGATAAATCCTGCCGAAACAGGCAATTAGACATTTTTAGTTACCCTCGTAATTGTTTTTATTAATAATTGGACTTGAAATCACTTATTAAGGCCTATAGGAACGGGGATTTGAACTTTTCTACTAACCCTCGTACATTATTTTTACTGCCCCTCGTAACATTTTCGGTTAATTTTCCCTACAGTCACTTGATAAATCCTGCGGGAACAGGTAATTAGACATTTTTAGTTACCCTCGTAAATTTTTGATTAATAATTGGACTTGAAATCGCTTATTTATTCCTCCAGGATGGATAATTGCACCTACAATCAGTTATTAACTCCTATAGGAACGGGTAATTGATCTTTTCTACCAACCCTCGTAACAGTCTTAGTTGTACTATAATTACTTATTAAGTCATTTAATTTATACTGCCTCTCGCAACAGTTTTGGTTAATTATACCTACAATCACTTGTTAAATCTTGATGGAATAAATAATTAGACCTTCTTAGTTACCCTCGTAAATATTTCAATAATAATTGTATTTGAAATCACTTATTAATTATTTCAGGATGGATAATTGCACCTACAATCACTTATTAAGGCCTATAGGAACGGGTAATTGAACTTTTCTACTAACCCTCGTAACATTCTTGGTTATACTACAGTCACTTCATTTTTACTGCCCCTCGTAACATTTTCGGTTAATTATACCTACAATCACTTGTTAAATCCTGCAGAAACATTTTAGCTACCCTTGTAAATTTTTGATTATTGATTCCTTCAGGATGGATAATTGTACCTATAATTACTTATTAAGGTCCGTAGGACCAGATTATTCTATATTTCTAGTAACCCTTGTAACAGTCTTGGTTGATACTACAATCACTTTTTAGGTTATTTAATTTTCACTGCCCCTCGTAACAATGTCTGTCATACAGGAATAGATAATTGGACATTTTTAGTGGCCCTCGTAACATTTTCGGTTAATTATATCACTTGTTAAATTTTGCAGGAGCAGGCAGTAAGAAATTTTTAAGGGACTCTCGTAGTAATTTTGGTTGATTGTACTTAGAATCAAGGACAGATAATTATCATAAATGTACCTAACCAAAACGGAAATTTAAATTTTCCTTATGAAATTTACTATAAAATGGAAATAAATAACTCTTTTAATAATGAATTAATATTGAAGTATAATCTTTATTTTTTAAAGCCACCTCTCACTGTCTTAATACATTTTTGACATAAAGAAAAGATTCATACAAACTAGATTTGTTAATAATAAATATCGCTATTTTAGTGTCTTGATAATTTTGAGGTCGAAAGAAAAGCGACGTTGCCAAGTCGATAAGAAATATAGAAATAACAGGAATTTGTATTTAATTGATACAAAAGTGACGTAAGTGGCATACAACATATTTTTTACCACCGATATTACAGAGGTTGTTCAAATAATTGACATTTTAGCCATTTAAAATGTATAAACCCTATTTTTTTTTTATAAATTTTATCGATTTTTAAACAGTTTAAATTATTACAGTGTGCACTGATTACTTTTATCAAATATCTGAAAATGACCCAACTTGAATTTTACTACTTACCAGTTTGTATTTGTTTCTGTATATATATAAAATAAACTTAGTGTTGCGAATATGTACAGAATAAGTTAAGTCTAAAGTAAAAATAATCAGAAAACCTATGATTATAAAAAATATGCTAAGATAAATTGCAACTTATGAACAGTAACCAGTCGTAACAATATGAAATGTATAAATAAATATTAAAAAAAGCCGTTAAAAGTAATTAGATATTTGTACAAATTGTAAATAAACATATACTTTTTACCCATGAGTTTTGTCATGTGAATATCCTGTTAAAATTTAATTTTTCATTTTGCATTAATAAATCATTTCAAAAACCGTCCATATTTTTGATTCATACGAAAATAATATCGCTAGCACTAATAGATGTTAATTTCTCACTGGGAGATCCGTTATTTCTGTCTACATCAAGCGGTTCATCTATTCATTTTTTACATCCCATTTTATTTGAAATTTATTCATACTTTACGCTATTTGGAAGAACATAAAGATCCTACAGTTTAAAGTTTAATCCGAATATTTAAGCAGATTAAAAAAACTAGGCAAGTTGCAACGTATTTTTAAGGGCGTCGTTGTATTTTATGAGTAAATATTCTTCAAAGAATCCCATATAATTCAGGGTAGCGAAAAAGTCTGGCAGCATATTTTCTTTGAAATTAATGAATGTATAATTATGAAATTTTAGTTTTTTAAATGGCATTCTGAATTTTTTAGGACATGTCAAATATATATCGTCGGTACAATGCCAAAACCACAAATGTGCAAATTTGGAATTTTTCTCCTAAGCACTTTACCAGACGTTTTAACCTTGAAAGTTATCAGTGTCAAACTCAGGAATGTGCCTCAAGATCCTAAGCCCCTTCTACGACCCATGTCTATTTTCAGAAAGTAAGAATTTAGCAGTTTCTTCAGTTTCTAAGGCTCGAAAAACCAAATTCTCAAAACTGAAAACTTTGCACAATCGTGGTTTTGGCATTGTACTGACGATGTGGCATCAGGCGTTTAACGTACCGACGCCATTTTGATTTTTTTAAATGCAACGTAGGTCGAGTGTTATATCGAAGGAAAGCTTATATTTTTCTCTTTTCAAGAATACTAAAAAAGTACCACAATATCAACGTAATACATTCCCATTCATCACACTAAATTATTGCCAGACTTTTCGCTACCTTATACATAACATACACAACAGTCTAGGTATAGAATTAGGAGGCATTCCAAATAAAATGGTTGCCTGATGAAGATGACACACAAACCCCAATTTTACATTGAGTTCAGTGTTGTTCTGAGTTGATATGTGTTTGACTGCAATATATGTTCTTTTTATTACACACCTTTTACTTCTAGTACTCTAATTCAACAAATGTCTTCTTATAAAACGAGTAGCTCTAGTTTTTACATGACACTAAGGATAAAACTATTAAAATTACACACTACTAGGGATATTACGATACCAGTAAAGTATGGATACTGGTATCGGAAAGAGTATCTGAACCAAAGTATCGATACCAGTATCGGAACGAAAGTATCGATGCCGATATCGGGAAGAGTCTAGAACAGTCATACTCAACCTGCGGGCCGCATGCGGCCATCCAAGCTTTTTTTGCGGCCCGAAACACTGTTATTAAAGTGCTTTTTAAAACATTCAAAATATGCACAAACAAGATTAGTGGCATTTACACCGAAACATAATCATAACATTGTATCTACTAGAACCAGATAAGAGACATATAATTTATTTTTGCCAAATATATTTAGTCCGATTCCTAATAGTGTTTTTGCCAAAATAAGATAAAGGCCACAATACTTATTTTTGTTGAATGTACACGTATTTGTTGAAATAATTTGTTGTTTTGCCTAGAGTCGTCTCTGGCCTTTCTCGACAATGTGATTACGTCACCCTTTCTTTCTAAGATACAGCTAACCTTCAAAAACCAACAGATAATAACACGTGATTCCCGAATAGCCGTGGTGAACGAGTGATTAGATAATCTGTAACGAGTGATTGGATAATCTGTAACGAGTGATTGGTCAAGCTGTGTAGCGGTAGCGCTTCGTACTCTACAAACTATCTTTTAAATAACTTTGACGTCAGATAATTCTTTTTTTGACGAGCTTGGTATGAATTTGACGTCAGATAGTCTATGTTGTGACGAAATTTCATTTCATCAATGACATTTTATTTTGTCGTGAAGATGGCACTTCAGAATGTTTCAGAGCGACACATTTCTCACCGTATGTTCCTTGCTAATGTCACGGAACTTAAAAGTTCGATGGCATAGGGAAGGCGGCTTTTGTTTTTGATTTCCTTAAGAGGCGAGAAAACCAGGGAAACGAAAGTGGGCCAGAAGAGGAAAAACAAAAAGCGGACTAACAAAAATACTAAGAAAAACATTTAATAACCTTGCTGAATTAATTTTTAAATAAACCTAAGGAAAAACTAAAACAAATTGTCTTGGAACTGCTACGGCCTCTGTAAGCTGTAACGAGCGGGGAGGGAGGAGGGGAGGGTACAAAGGGATGAAAAGGTAAAAAAAGGTCTGAACACTTACAAAAAAGTGCAAGAAGAAATATTTAATAAAACTTTGCAAATCAGGTGCTACACCTGATGAATATCACCAATATTATCACAATCTACCTGTATCCAATAATGTTAAAGACAAGGGTACCTAAATCTTCCATTAGAGATAGTGAACACGAACATTGAATATGACTGGTATGCAGACAGCTAAAATAAGCCATGTAATTTTTTGTTTAATTTTAAACTTTTGAACAGCGTTTTCTCGAAACTCTAAAAATATGAGATATCTTGTTTTTGAAAATAACCCGTTGGGATATATTGTTTTTTTTTTTTTTTATTAGAGGCCCCCACTAATTTTAAGTGAATGGCATAAAAAAAGAGTCATCGTTTCAAAATATTTCGGCCCGTGTAACATAGCAAACATATCAATGTGGCCCTAAGGAAAAAAAGGTTGAGTATGGCTGGTGTAGAACATCAAAAAAAGGTCATAGAGTACGCCGACATACCATGAAGTGATCCTACAATATACTTTTTGTTTGTATTGTAATGTCAAAACTAGTAAAATATTGAAACCAAAGTAGTATCCATATGGGTTAAGTATTGAAAGCAAAGTACGGGTACTAAATTTGCCGGTATCGAAAGAAAAGTATCGATACCAGTAAAGTATCGATAGCGGTATCGAAAAGAGTATCAGACCCAAAATATCGAAAGGGTATCGAAACCAAAGTATCGAAAGAGTGTAGAACAACCAAAAAAAGGTCATACGGTAAGCCGACATACCATAAAGTGATTCTACAATAGTTTTTGTATGTATTGTAATGTCAAAATAAGTAAAATATTGAAACGGAAGTAGTATTATCGAAACAAAAGTAGTATCGATATGAGTAAAGTATCGAAAGCAAAGTATCGGGTACTAAATTAGCCAGTATCGATACCAGTATCATATCAGTAGTATCGCAACATCACTACACCGTGTTTTTGTTCAGTATCCCACCCTCGAAGCACAAAATTGCCTTCATTTAAACTAATTATGTACAAAACAACTTGATAGATTAGTGAACAAACGTTTGTGTGCCAAAGGAACAAAACATGTATTCACCTTGTCAAATTCAACAGGTAACAATTTTAACAAGACGTTTGAATTAGGTATGGGCGGAGCAGCGTATTTGTAGGAACGGGTACAAACTGTTCCGGTTGCTCCAGTTCCAAACTAACTTTCGCAATTACGCAGTCCATCGTCCAGTGAAGTGGAGTGGGGTAGAATTATAACTCAATGAATTTCGTTTTGTTAAACTAGATGCAGAGACGGTTTGAGAACATTTTGTGCAACAATTATAAAATAGTGCATCGGAAAATAATTTACAGGTATAATTTAATATTTAATCGAAATCAAAGCACAACAAATCACAAATATAAGTGGGGAAATAAAGAACCGACGCCAAAACTAAGCTTACAACAGCCACAACAAATGTTCCCCACTCGACCATTCACTGTTGGGTTCCTAAAGTGGCTCTGTGAAACAGTAACAAAGCCTACACAGAACACGAGGCTAATGGCCTTAGTAGTCGGTGCCGATGACACCAAAAAAAAAACATGATGGCTGAACAAAGCCAAGCCTGGAACTTGTTTACTGTGCTTTAGGGCAACATCTCGCAGGGGCGAATTTTTGGAAATTCTTGGTCAATATCTAAAAATAGCAAATAGGTTTAAACAAGAAATTTCATCATAAATAATCTCATTATAGCCCAAGAGCCCACTGCAAATTTTTACCGTCATCTGATAACGAAATGAAATATACCCCAAAATCATGGAAAAACCTTGTACTTTCCAAATGGCACCTGTGCCAATCCCAATCCTGAGCAAAGTTGCTTAAAAAAATTATTTTATATTAAAAAAATCACATAAGGCATGACAGCGCTAATTTTGTTTGCCCTTAAAGTTTTCTAGAAAATAACTTTCAAATATATCTTGATATATATCGTTAAAGGGAAACATTTTCTTCCTCTTAATATCGCACAAAAACATCTATCCACGATTAGTAGATAAAAATCATTAAAAATATGAATCAATGTTTGCTGATTTAAAAATTTATTTGTATACCTATTGTTGTGATTCATTTTTACAGGTTGTCATAGAAACGACAAAAAAGCTACTATGATTATGGTTTAAAATAATTGTCTAACAAGAGTTTATAATTATTATTGACTATCTTTGCAAATGGTTTATACAATGCCATCCTTCTTCCTTTCATACATAAACATGGTTTAAAAGGTAGGTAAATATATTAGTAATTCAGGTTTAAAAGCTAGGTTCACAATGAATTAGGATTGTAATTTTTAGGGAAAACCCAATTGTCGCTGTCATGTCTTATGTGATTTTTTGAATATAAAATATTTTTTTTTAACCACTTTGCTCAGGATAGGGATTGGCACAGGTATAATTTGGTAAAGTACAAAGTTGTTACATGCCTTTGGAGCATATTTCATTTCGTTATCAGATGACGGTCGAAATTTGCAGTGGGCTCTCATACTATTAGGTATCTAGCAACTTTCATTACCCATTTTAGTTAGGTAGTTTTAATATTTAATCTTAGATAAAAGAGACCAGAGATATAACATACACCGGTGTTTAACCTGCGCAAATGTTGCCAATTTCTAAAGAAAAGTTAACGGAGTGGGGGAA